ACCCCCCCCAAAAAAAATTACCATGACATGTTGTTGTTGCTATGTGCTGCTGAGTCATATCTGACTCACTGTGACCCCTCCTTGGGTTTCCAAGGCAGTATTGCTATGGAAGTAGATTGCCCAACCTTCCTTCCGAGGAGTGGCTGGTAGGTGTGAACTGCCAGCCTTCTGGTTAGCAGTCAAGTGCCTTAGGCACTACTCTACCAGAGCTCATCAAACACACCAAAACCGAAGACCAAGAAAGAATCCTGAAAGCAGCATGGGGGATAAAAAAAAAGTTCCTTACAAAGGAGAACCAGTAAGAATAAGCTCTGATTTCTCAGCAGAAACCATGCAAGCAAGAAGGCAATGGGATAGTATATATAAAACCCTGAAAGAGAAAAACTTCCAACCAAGAATTATATATGCAGCAAAATTGTCCCTCAAATCTGATGGTAAAATTAGAAGTTTTCCAGATAAGCAGAAATTAAGGGAATTTGTTAAACCAGACCAATCTTACAAGAGATACACTAAAGGAAGTCCTCTGAACAGAGAAGTGATAATAGCTTACAATAACCGACCATTAATACACAAGATGACATAAGCCAGAAACCAACACAGCTATGGAAGTATCCAAAGTAAAATGAGCTTACAAGATTGTAAACAGGGAACCAGGGACATTGATTGGCAAGTGAGGACAACTACAAACCAAAAAGAGGGAAAAAAACAGTGTAGTTACAAAACTCGTAAATGGTGAGGAAGTCAAGAGAGTTGCAAGATAGAATGGACTGTTCTAAACTCAGGGAGAATATTATAAATCACAAGGTAATCTCAAAGAAAAATGATAAACCTTCACATCAAAATAAAAGAGGACAAGCACAAATATTTAGCAAATACTAAAACAATAGCAACAAAGGAAATGATAACACGATTCAAAAACATAATGAGCTTAGCACAGAAAATTATATGGAACAAAGAAACAAAGAACCCCATGAAAAAACACGTAACAAAATGACAGCTACCAATTCATACTTGTTAATAATTACAATGAATGTCAATGGATTAAATCCACCACTTATGAGACAGAGAGTTGCAGACTGGATAAGAAAACATAACCCATCAATACGCTGTCTACAAGAGATAACCTTAGAGACAAAGACAAAAACAGACTAAAAATCAAAGGATGGAAAAAAACATCTATCAAGCAAGTGGCAACCAAAAAAGAGGAGGAGTAGCAATATTAATTTCTGATAAAATCGACTTTAAGACAAAAACCACCATAAAAGACAAAGAAGGACATTATATAATGATTAAAGGATCAACTGAACAAGAAGATATAACCATAATAAATATCTATGGACCACTTAAAGGGCCCCAAAATACATAAATTAGACTTTAACAGAATTAAAAGAGCATAATGTTCAAGGCAAACATTTTTTAATAATGAAGCTAAACTACTGTTTTGTTTTAAGAAGACTTCAGGGGATATTTTTATTTATAGGTTTAAAAATTATCCCAGGGCAATAGTTTCAGGGGTTTATTTTGATTTTTTTTAATCAATTGTGGATACTTAAAACCTGGAGGAGGAAAAGAAGTGTTATGGTTTTGATTTAGCTCTCTCTGGGAAAGGAAGAAGCAACTCTTAAGTATTTTTTGTGGGCTTCAATTATTCTTTTGGATTACAGGGTGGCCCAGATCATGTGTATTTTATGATCACACTTTCTCTCTTACCTAGTGTGAAAAAACACCCCAGGATTTCTTTTCACTTTTAAAACAAAATTAAATTTTATGCTGTTGAGCTAAGGAAAATTAGCTCAAATTTGGCAATTTTCCTAAGAATAAACATGAAGCTCCTAACACCCATTAAGGATCATATTTGCCAGGAGGCACACTGAATGGAAAGAAAGGTTAAAGTGAAAAGTTCATGGCAAACATCGCAGGCTGCTAAAGGGATCTGTAAGGCCAGAGTCACTCAAATGACTGCAGGAAGTGACCTACGGCACCACTCATGGTTCACAGAAACTGATGTTGCAATGTCTTGCCTACAAATTATTTTTTTACAGAAGGGAAGAGAAGAGGGTTAGACCCTGGGGAGAAACTGGGACATTCTGGTTATTTTGTAGCACACACGGTATGGATGACCACTGAGGGAGACTTTTAAAGAAGTAGCTGGTAACTGGCCACTGCCATGCTTCTACATAAATTGCTGGCTATAAAAGCAGGTATTTGGGGATTAGGAGCAAAATACCAGAAGATGAATAGATTTTAAAAGTCAGGCCAACCTAGGTACAAATCCCAACACTGACATTTACAGCTGAATCATTTTGGGTAAACTTCTTTACCAACTACAGCCTCCATTTTCTCAGAGTTGTATAATGAGAAAACCACACACCAGCAGAGTTGCTGGGAGTATGAAATGAAATCACATATTTAAATAAATTAGTTCAGTGCCTGGAATATAGTAAGCACTTTAGAAATACTAATTTGTCTCTCTCCTTTTCCTTTTACATGTAAGTTCTTTAGTTTATTAATGCTAGAGAAAACATTTACTGCAAAGCCACTTCTGCTCACCAACAAACTTTGGTAGAGTGGAACTACTAAAAGGAAAACTCCTCCTGGATCTTTCCCAAGGCCACTTAGACATTTTTTGTGGACACATGAAAAAGTTAAAGTGTATCTACTATTTCTTGGTTTGTCCAAGATCTCTGGTGTGAGATGTAGGTAAAAGTTTATTTGAGAGAGTGTGTTGCCAATTTGAAAAATTATTATCTACTTAGTTACTCTGAAAGGTGCTCTGGTGGTGTAGTGGTTAAGGCATTTGGCTGCTAACCAAAAGGTCAGTGGTTCAAACCCATTAGCTACTCCACGGAAGAAAGATGGGACAGTCTGCTTCTGTAAAGACTTATAGCCTTAGAACCCCAATGGGGGTCGCTAGTCAGAATCAACTTGTTGGCTTTGAGCTTTTTGAGAGTTACTCTGAAAGAAATGCCAAATGTAGCACAGGGCATTTGTATGAACAATCTCCTAAATGCTTTTGGCTGATTTAATTAAAAAGTAAAGTATAGGAAATTCTAATTCTCTATAGTCAGATAAAACAGTCTATTCAATTACTAGAAAAAACTATCATTCTGCACAGATGGGCAACACTGAGGGGTAAACTGTCACATACTTAGGAGTAGTGAGCAAGTATTTCTGAGTGCAGACTTCTTAATTTTTTAAAAAAATATCTTACTATAAAAATTTTCAACCACACATAGATGTATGACAAATCCCCACATACATATGACTCGGTTTCAGTGATTCTCAATGACCCAGTTTTAAAGCTGGAACTTGGAGATATCTAATCAGTTTCTCTCAGACAAAAGTAACACTTAGAGACATCTACCTTCAGAATGGTATTCCCCTGGAGTATTACAAGAGACCTTTACAAGTCTTTAAGATAAAAATCTCAAAGTTACGCTAGAAATTACCCAAATTCTGATTTTTAAAAAATTGATATTGGTTTCCCTCTTCCTAAATAACTTTAGAGTAGAAGGGCAGATCTTCTCAATATGTGGATTTTTCACTTTACAAAACACCTTCAGACAACTCACTCTAAGTAACAATGACAGAAATCCTGATGTTTCCACCATAAATTTTTCAGTGAACCTCTAGAAAGTAGAAGGACAACAAAAAGGACAAGGTAGAAAAGGCCGATGGGAACATGAGAGCCTTGGACAAAAATATAAGTAAGGTACTGATGGTACATACCCAGAGGCTTAAATTCATTCCAGACCAGAACTCCAGAACTTTAACTTTTAAACACAGTAACACCACACTACCCTGGACAATCTAATCACTCACAAACATAAATGCTATTACTACCTCTTTTAATGTCCTCACAGAACCAGAAGAAACCATCTTCTTCAGAGCTGACACAATGTTTCTGGTCCCTTTACTTTTACCTATGTAGTATTAAGATAGTCTACATAGATGCATACATAACACTGTTGTTGTTACATGCTGTGCTGTCCAGTCATCTCCAACTCACATGACCCTATGTCCAACAGAATGAAACACTGCCCAGTCTTGTGCCAGTCTCATAGTCCTTGCTATACTACTGAGCCCCTCGTTGCAGCCACTATGACTATCCATAATACTACCTATGTAGTATTAAGAAAGGAGTTCTGGTGGTGTAGTGCCTAAGGCACTTGACTGCTAACCAGAAAGCTGGCAGTTCAAACCCACCAGCCACTCCGCGGAAGGAAGGTTGGGCAATCTACTTCCGTAGTGATACAGCCTCGGAAACCTAAGGATGGATAGCTATGAATCAGATCCGACTTGACAGCATTGAGTTTGGTTTTTTTTTTTTTTTTTTAGTATTAAGAAGACCTCTTGTGGCATATAGCTGAGCACTATTTGCTGTCTCTGCTATGAGAAAAAAACTATTCAGCCAACAGACTTCATGACACAAACGCAAGCAAATAAAACAAATTGACCCCTTCCCGAATCTCTTGCATCCCACAAATGACATGCAAACACTAGGTGATTCATGTGTATGGGCTATTCACTAGAGAGAGAGAGACTGACTTCCCTAGTAGAACTCTAGAAAGTTCCAATTAAGCAGGCTACATGAGAGGAGGTGATATCATCAAGCTCACCAGGGAGCTTCAGAACTAAACACATTAATCAGAAATGACTCTATGGTTAGTTTATGCACATGACATCATTTAGTCTGAGCTGCGGTCCCTTCCTATCCACTGCAAAGTATTCACTGTTATTTGACTTAATTCAAAACTAAAGAACTTCCGTGTTCTTAGGCTTCAATGTGAGCTTCAAAATCTGCATATAATTAGTGATGATTTTGCAGAAAATTACAGCTGCCAATGCCCTCTTTTAAGTCCCTCACAATCTGGAGTTTCCTTCCTCCAAACAGAACACTTTACCCTTCTATATGATCATATAAGAGCTTGACTGAGGCTCTATAAAACTAGCTAGATCACAACTTACTAGCAAGAATTGCATACGGTGGCAAACGATACCTTTGAGAAGATGATGCTGTCCATTTCATCACTGGGTGAGTGAAAGAGATCAGAATCACTCCCAGATTCTCTTTTAAGCCCACTTTGGGATGAGGCATGCTCTCGGCCCAGTCCAACACCGAGGAAATTGTCACATTCTGAAAAAGACAATTTATACAACCAATACTTAAAACAATATAAAAATTTCTTTCTATCCTAGAACTGGTTTTTTAAATTTTCTTTTGTTTTTAAGATTAAGAAGTTATAAAGGAGACACTGTCAAATTAGTAGCTTTTAGCTTTGACAGCCCTATTCTGGAAGAGTTCCTATAGCCTATCCATGAGTTTGCCATGTCCTTAAAACCATCATTCCATCTATATTTAGGTTTCTCAGTGGCAATGTTTTCTTCCAAGTATTTTTCTTTTGCCACCAATACCAGAAGTCCATTGTTAGGAAGCTATGTGACAGTTTGTGGCCAATCCCTGTTTTGAGACTAAGTTCCTTCTGGAAACTTGTTATTTTATCAAAATACTGGAATAAAAGGCAAAGGGGAGCATACCTAATAAACATATCAGTCTATTAAGTTTAGGAGTTCTACTGCTTAATAAGGAGCTCTGGAGGTGTAGTGGATAAGGCATCTGGCCTGCTAACCAGAAGGTCAGTGGTTCAAATCCACCAGCTGCTCTGTGGAAGGAAGATGAAGTGATCCACTTTTGTAAAGATTTACAGCCTCAGAAACCCAGTGGGGGTTGCTATGAGTCAGAATTGTCTCAATGGCAGTGAGTTTATTACTTAATAAGGAGCTCTGGTGGTGTAGTGGTTAAGGCATTTGGCCACTAACCAAAAGGTTGGTGGTTCAAATCCCACCAGCTGCTCTGCAGGAGAAAGATGAGATGGTCTGCTTCCATAAAGATTTAGGGGTTGCTATGAGTTGGAATCAACTCAGTGGCGGTGAGTGAACTGAGTACTGCTTAATAGTGAAAACCTAATTATTGAACTTTTCATACCTTAAACTAATCTCAGAGGAATCATATGCTAAAGCAGAAAAGTTTATTATCTAGAATCTGTTTTCAGCTCAAAAAAGAGGATAGGGACCCTACCAGAGGGAAGAGGCCTTGACAAAAATATTACACTGGTACATCAAGGAGTCCTAAAGACACCAACCAAAAACAAACCAAACTCTCTGCCTTCCGACTCACAGAGACCCCTCCTTGGGTTTCTGAGCCGGTATCACTATGGAAGTAGATTGCCCAACCTTCCTTCCAAGGAGTGGCAGCAAGGTATTTAACCCATTATCTCCTTTTGACTTTGTGGACAAAAGGGGCATGAGAGTTGGTAGAGGTAAGTTAAGATTTATAGATGGTAAAATCAAGAACCTAAAAAGGGTCAATTTTAACTAAATTTCAGAGAAGCTCATAATGTAAGGCATTTGCAAAAAAGCAAAAGACAATAAATACACACACATAAAATCCTAGTATTTTTAAGTTCCATTAACAGACAGTGTATTTAAAGCCAAAACAAGGACTATGTGCTAGCCAGACCACACCCAAGAACTGTATTTATTTCTAGATAACACATTTAAATTAGAACACTGATAACCAGAAATGCATGCACAGCAGTGAGGTCATTAACAGTAGAAATGCTTGAGATACATTTAGCTTACAGAGGAGCTTGACAAAAATGTGCCTAGAGACAGTCATTTAATGAGGAACAGTGAGTAAAATCACATTGTTCCAGATGGCGGAACAAAGGCCAGTGAGTGGACCGTGCAGACAGTCACTGTAGCAAGGTTTCTAGGCAGCCTAAGTAATGGGAGCTCTGGTAGCATAGTGGCTAAGACACTTGCCTGCTAACCAGACAGCTGGCGGTTCAAACCCACCAGACACTCCTCGGAAGGAAGGTTGGGCAATCCTACTTCCGTAGTGATACTGCCTCGGAAACCCAAGGAGGGGTCGCTATGAGTCGGGTTTGACTCGACGGCAAACAACAACAACAACAACAACAAGTAATGAGTACCATTTGACCAGAAGGACTGAGCAGAGGCTGAATGAGAGTCATGAGGCTTCAGAGAAGCTGTCTACACAGAAGGAAAAGTGGAGATTTAACTAGCTAGCCTACAATGGCCCTTCTGACTCTCAGATCTTTCGCTTTGACAGTAATATGGCACCTGCATGCTGTGTGTGTCTGAAGAAATAATGGGAAGTTTTTCTTATCTAAATTAATTAGTAAATTAATAATTGATAACTAATAATTTTACTCTGGATCAGCTGAGTAGCTAAGGAAGAGTCAAGGATGCACTAAATGAATCAACTGTTGGTAAGTTAGGCACTTGGCTAGGTAGAGTCCACATGAAAAGAGAAGTTTAGTGTTTGTGTGTATGGGGGCAGGCGACAATCTCACAGGAGACAATGGATATATTAAGAGAAAATTTCAACACAAAAGATGCCACAGGAAGCAAGGCAGGGACCATAGGTTAATATGAAACAGTAAACTTAAGCAAATATTTCAGATTTGTTTTAAAAAAATGACCCTAGTCTATTTCAGTCTTGGTCCAAATTACCTGAGTGTGTTATGTCAATAGGAACAGCTGTGTCTAAGACTGGCAATTGTAGGTATTCTAGAGTTTTGCTTTTTTTTTTTGACATTTCACAGAATATGTATTAACTTAGGTAGAGTTGGCAGGTATGATTTTCTACTCCTTCCCCTTATCCTTACTTGTGAAAAGCAAAACTCTGGTTGAGGGGAAAACAGGGGACTGGCCAAGAGAAGAAAGGGCTGTCACAGCAACTACACTGAGCTCCTAGCTATCCAGCTGGCAGTCGAGCAGACCATATCCAAATTCCAGACTGGGAAACAAACCATCTCAGAGATATTCTAATGGAAAATTCACAGGGAAGATCCAGATTCAGCCCTAGTAGGAATACCTCACCCAAAAAATAAATCCAAACCAGCACTACAAGGCACCACAAACCAAGTCTGGGTTGAGAAGAACTGGCTGTGTGAGATAATGTTGACTATTGGGGTGGGCAGGAAGAAAGGCTGTGGAAAAAAAAGAATCAGGGAGTGAGAACTTCAAGCAATCAGGAAACAATACTCCCCACCCAAAGCTACACCACACTCCATACATAATGTGTTGTTTCATGTGTCCTTAAGTTTTCAAAACTAAAGAAATCTCTCCTTTGTTCCCTCATGCCCCCTTCCTAATGAATAAAATAGGAACAGCATTAAAAAGACCCACTGCCAATAAGTTGACTGAGACATGCAGTGACCCTACAAGATAACTGAGAACTGCCCCATAGGGTTTCCAAGGCTGTAAGTCTTTCTGGGAGCAGACTGCCTCATCTTTCTCCTGCAGAGCAGCTGGTGGATTCAAATCACCAAACTTCTGGTTAGGAGCCCAATGCTCTAACCACAGTGCCACCAGAGCTTCTTTGGAACAGCATACCAAGGTATAAAGAACAAAGAGCACTGGTTTAAAGTCAGCCTGATCTGGCTTAAATTTAGGGCTGAAAACATATTAGGAGAATGATCCCACCAGTAAGTAATTTAACCTTTAAGCCTCATTTTCCGTATCAATGAAATGGAATAATTAGTACCTCCCTCAAAGAATTGTGGTGACAGTTAGAAATAATATATGCATAATGTTACCTGAAAGGAGCCCTGGTGGTGCAGTGGTTATGAGCTTGTCTGCTAACATAAAGGTCAGCAGTTCAAACCCACCAGCTGTTCCATGGGAGAAAGATATGCCATCTGCTTCCGTGAAGATTATGTCACAGGACACACCACGGGCAATCCAACTCTCTCCTTAGGATCGTTATGAGTCAGAATCGAGGTTTGGGTTTGGGTATGGTTTAATGTTAGCAGAACTCTGCCCCTCAACATATAGCAGGCACATGATAAATGTACCTAATGAAGGTAAAGCTTAATTCATAATATATGTTTCAATAAGTATCCCATGATCACAGTACTTTGAAGGTGGCCTTAGAAGGGGCCAGTCCCATTTTATGACCCACTTATAAACCTGTATATCTATCTTTTGTGTACTGAGCCATTAGCTTTATAAAAGCTATCAAAGTGCGTACTCTTTAAGATGCTATGTAGTCATTTGGATTTAAAATGACATATGCACAAACAAATTATAGTTAGGGAAAGGTAGGAAAACATACAGCAGCACTTACTGGGTTTTGTTAAGCCACACTAATCATAATCCTCTCTTTATTCAGCATTGAAGAGTATACAGAGTGATTTCAAAGACATTATCTTATTTGGTCTAATGTTACAGCTCTCTTAAGCATGTGTTTGTGGAATGAAGAAAAGAAATCTACAAGACTGAAAAGTACTTAGGATTCATAATCAGCTATACCTAAAAGCAAAAGCTCAGGACTTTTTAAATTAATTAAGGATTTAAAAAGAACCACTCAATAAAAGCCACAGTTTGTGCTTACAGGTTGAGGTGTGGAGAGTCTACAAAATTCAGTATTATGCCCTGGGGTTCTGAATTCTTTTATTTAAATGAGTGAATTAAACTACAATGTGCAGAGATAGTTCCTGTGAATATTCAAAAATTGTGAGGTAACCTCATTTAACCTTTACATCGCAAAAAGTTTCACTGCTTAGGTCATTGGGAGTAATTATACTTTTAGAAAAAGCCCCAAACAGTTTAAGGAACCAAAACACATAAAGTAGAACATTTTTAAGTAGAAGATTCCAGAGGGCAAAATGGGAAAAGTATAGCTACCTCTGTAAACAGGGTCAATCTCATAAAACATGGAGAACAAAAATATAACCATACCCAAACCCACTGCTACTAAGTCAATATGATAAAGTAGAACTGCCCCCATAGTGCTTCCAAGGCTGTAAACCTTTGTGGAAGCAGACTGCTTCTTAATCTTTCTCCCATGGAGCAGCTGGTGGTTTTGAACCACCAACCTTTTAGTTAGCAAGCCGAATGCTTCAACCACTGAGCCACAATAATAATACTGTTTACCTACTTCTATGTGAAGTAGAAAAAAAACACTCTTCATTATTTTCTAATACCTCCTTTGTAGTAAATTCAGAGTTCAAAATCAGCAGGATATCTCTAAAGATAAAGGATTTGAACCAAAAACAAACCTGTTGCCATCAAGTCAACCATGACTCACAGCTACCCTAACAGAGTAGAACTGCCCCAAAGGGTTTCTTAGATTATAAGCTTTACAGAAACAGGCTGCTACATCTTTCTTCTGTGGAACAGCTGGTGGGATCTGAACCATCAACTTTTCAGCTAGCAGCTGAGCACTTGAACCATTATGCTACAGGGCTCCCTAAAGATCTGAACAGTTGTCTTTAAATTGTATACTACTGCAAGGTATCTACAGCAAAGTTCTTTCTAAAAAGACCAGCAAACGAGAAGAACTCAGCAGTTTTTAAAGAAGGTCAATGTAAAAATCAGGAAGGTAAACAGAGATGACGCTGGGTAAAGAAGACTCAAGAGTCCAGAACACAAATCACCAGTGTGTTCACTTAGGTGTAGTAACAGGCACAAAAACTTACAATTATCACATACATCATCCTCACAACACCTTCTTCTCTCCCTGAGGCAAGCTAGAAACGCTTTATAGATATGAGAGAAGAAAGCACAAAGGTACCTCACGCCACAGTTGAGTCAGTAGGTGAGATGGAGTTAAAAGTTAGGAATTTTAACTAACTCTAAGTAAAGTGCTGCACACGCCATTACAACACACAAGGTCTTTACAGCGTATTTTGTTCCTAGTACTTCATGAGTGCTTAAGGGAAGACTCAATCCTGACAACGTAATAGTTCTCAACTATGGCTAAACAATAGAGTAACCAAAAGAATAAGATTCTGATGTCAGTCCACTTCCCAGATCAATTAAATCAGAATTTTTGGGGTTAGGACCTGGGCATCAGCATGTTTTTAAAGCTACCCAGATTATTTCAATGTGCAGCCAAGATTGACAACTGTAGCTTTGGTTCTTAATAATGCATATTCATAGTTTAAACCAGATTAAAAGACCATATGATATGTACATGCACAGCACAGATGCCTTCACAGAAGAATTAACATATCACTTGTGAGATCAGCTACCACTAAAAATGAAGTCTAGGTAATTACATATGCTCGCCTTCAATTCTGAGACAAATGCTTACCAACACAACATACATACACCCTTTTGTCGGATTAATTGCTTAACATGTTAAGGCAAGATTTCCAAATCAAATACCTTGTTATTAACCAAAATCAAACCCAAACCCACTAACACTGAATCTATTTCAACTCACGGCAACCCTTTTAGGACAGAGTAGAACTGCCTTACAGTATTTCCAAGGCTGTAAATACTTACAGAAGCAGATTGCCTCATCTTTCTGCCAAAGAGCAGCTTGTGGATTTAAACTGCTGACCTTTTGGTTAACAGCTGAATGCTTTACTGACTATACCATCAGAGTTATTAGTGGGACTACAGCTTCAGGAAGGAGCTCTGGTGGTAGAGTGGATAAGACATTTAGCTGCTAACCAGAAGGTCAGCAGTTCAAACCCACCAGCTGCTTCATGGGAGGAAGATGAGGCAATCTACTTCCATGAAGATATAAAGTCTTCGAAACCCAATGGGGGTCGCTATCAGTCAGAATCAACTCAATGGCAGTGGGCTTGGTTTGCTTGGTTTTAGTTTCAGGAGGAGCCCTGATGGTACAGTGGTTAAGTGCTCATATGCTAACTGAAAGGTCCCACCAGCTGCTCTGTGGGAAAACAATGAGGCAGTCTGCTTTCATAAAGATGTACACCCTTCAAAACCCTATGGAGTAGTTCTAATCTGTTGTATAGGGTTGCTGTGAGTTAGAATGGACCAAATAGAAGGAGGTTTTTTTTTTCCCTTTTTTCTATAGCTCCAGGAGCCCTGGTAGCATAGTACCTAAAGCATTTGACTGCTAACCAGAAGGCTGGCAGTTCAAACCTACCAGCTGCTCCTTAGACAGAAGATTGGACAATGTACTTCTGTAATGATATTGCCTCGGAAACCTGAGGAGAGGTCTCTATGAGTCGGATTCGACTCAACAGCAGTGAATTTGGTTTTTTTTTTTTAAATGGCTCCAGGGAATGGGCATCTTAGATGAGTTATTCAAATATATTGCAACTTCCACGACAGTGAGTTGTTTGTTGTTGCAAATTGGAAAATCTCTGCTTACCTGGGTTCTGCTTAGGAGCCAGAAGAGATGCTGCATCAGGGCATGGTTCTACTGTACACCAGCTTTCTTGGTTTATCTGAAAGAAAACAAAAACAGAATTTCAGAGAGTTAACCAATGTTCTAAAGCTGCTGTAAGTCTAAGGAGCCCTGGTGACGCAATGGTTAAATGCTTGGGTACTGACTGAAAGGTTGGCAGTTCGAACCCATCAGTTGCTCCATGGCAGAAAGATGTGGCAGTCTATTTCCATAAAATTTACAGCCTTGGGAACCCTATAGGGCTGTTATACTTTGTCCCATAGGGTTGCTTCGAGTCACAATTGGCTCTATAGCAATTGGTGATTTTTTTAAAAATGGTTTGCAAGTATATGTACTGTACCAACACTTCTATTTTTTTTCCTTAATACTTTATTGCAAGAAGAGTAAAATTATGTCAAGAACAAAATATTTTAAAAATACGATCAAGGCAACTTGTGCTTAATTAAGGCTTCAAAGGGACTATTAATAAAAGTTAAACATACAAAAGCAACAGGAAAAAGATATACCAAACCATGGTTCAGGTCAAGGGTGGAGTAAAAAAAGAAGTTACAGATGAAACTAACTAAATATTAAAATACTTGTTTGATGCCATGGCTTGCAAGTTGTTTTCCACTCCCAAACAACAATACAAAGATGTTAAAATTACTTTTACACATGTTAAGAATTCTACATATATTATCTCATTTAATCGTCACACTAGCTACATAAAAATTATACTCTTTTTTAATTTTTTTTTTAATTAAAAGAACAGGCTCAGAGGAGTTGCTGAGGTGATACATGGTAGAACTAGCACTTGAATCTAAGTGTGTGATCCCACAACATATTAAAGAATGTTGTTGTTATGTGCTGTCAAATTGGACTCGACTCGTAGCGACCCCTCCTTGAGTTGTGGAGGCAGTATTACTATGGAAATAGATTGCCCAACCTTCCTTCCGAAGAGTGGCTGGTGGGTTTGAACCGCCAGCCTTCTGGTGAGCAGTCAAGTGCCTTAGGCACTGTGCTACTAGAGCTCCTAAATGCCTATTCAAGAAGGTCTCAAATCAACAATCTAAGCTACCACCTTAAGAAACTAGAAAAAGGAGATTATTATCCAATGCAAAACCCAAATCCATTCCATTGAGTCAATTTTGACTCATGGCGACTCTGTATACAGGGTTTCCAAAGCATAAATCTTTATGTAAACACACTGCTACATATTTCTCCTGAAGAGTAGCTAGTGGGTTTGAAGCTCTAATCTTTCAGCTACCAATCTGAGCCCTTCATCATTATGCGACTAGGGCTCCTTATTACCTAAAATAAGCAGAATAAAGAAAATAAAGAGTAAATATAAATGAAATAAACCCCAGAAAAACAATAAAATGAGTGAAATCAAAGCTGGTTTCTTGAAAAGGTAAGTAGTAACAATAAATCTCTAGCCAGATATGATCAAGAACAAAAGAATGGTTACAAATAACCAGCATCAGGAATTAAAAAGGGAGATCAGAGATTCCAAGAGGATAATAAAGGAATAGTAACAATGTTATGGCAGTAAATTCAACAAGCTAGATGAAAAGGATGCATTCCAGAAAGAACTCACTCAAGACAACATTGTTGTTGTTGTTATGTCAGACTTGACTCATAGTGACCCCTCCTTGGGTTTCCGAGGCAGTATCACTATGGAAGTAGAATGCCCAACCTTCCTTCTGAGGAGTGGCTGGTGGGTTTGAATCGCCAGCCTTCTGGCTAGCAGTCAAGTGCAAGACAACATAGATAACGCAAATAGCCTTAATCCATTAAAAACATTGAATTCATGGTTTAAAATTTCCCTAGAAGGAAAACTCCAGGTCCAGATGGTTTCAGTGGTTTAACACTTAACACTTAAGGAAGAAATAAGACCATTTCTACATAATCTCTTACAGAAAATAAATAAAGAAGAAATAGTACACAGCTCATTTTATGAGTCTAGCAAAGATAGTAAAAGAAAACTACAGGCTAGTATTCCTCATGATATAGAAGCAAAAATCCTGAAAAAATGTGAGGAAATCAAATCTAGCAATATATAAAATACACAAATACATCATGACCAATTAGAGACATGTGAGGAATGCAAGGATGCTTATGAAAAAAAAAAAAATCAACATATTAACAGACCAAATAATCCACAATGCAATGATTATTAATGGAGGCAGAAAAAATATTTGTCAAAATTCAATATTCATTCTTGATAAAACTCTCAGAACACTAGAAACAGAAAGAAAATTCCTCAACCTGACAGAGGGCCTCTATGAAAAACCTATACCTAATATCATACTTAATACTGAAACACTAAATACTTTCACTCTGAAATCTGGAACAAGGAAAAGGTGTGTACTCTAATCACTTTTATTCAACATTGTAGTGGGAGTGCAATAAAGCAGAAAAAGAAATAGAATACATATAGTCTGGAAAGGAAAAAGAACTTTATTCACAGATGGTATAATGTTGTGG